AAAGAACAGGGATTTTCCTCGTCTCAAGTTCTGTTGCCCTTCCTATTCCTGGAAGAGCATGCACAGTACACACCGACAAAGTATTATTGGATAAATATCTGAAACTAGTTCCTTCTACTTGCCTCTCAAACCTTCAATATTTTTTGTTTCATTATTTTTACAATATAGGTATATTTAGCATAGAAGATATGGGATGACATAAATGCCTTAATTTTTTTGTTTTGTAGAATTATACTAATTTCTGAGAAAAAAAAATGAAATAAGGTCTTACTATATCTAGCCCAGCAACCTACCTGCAAGGCTGTCTAGCTAGCACCTTTGGGAAATAAAGCCCATGGTGGGACATTGGTGCAAAGCTCTCTGGGGTGAAGACTTTCTACCGAGTGAAATTCAGTCCTTTTACTTGTGGAATTTTGGCTCATGGTGTCATAGACCACCTGTAGGCAGAGTGAGAATTCAATGTGCCTTTCACTTACCATCCCCCACTTACCACCTTCCAGTTTATGTCCATCCCTGCTGATGGTATGCCGTGAGAGTCTGACACTGTGCTTTGTTCTGAGCTGTGCTTTTATTCAGGGACTTTTTGTTTGGTTGGTTTTTGAGACTGGGCTTCACTATGTAGCCTTGGCTGAGCTGGAACTCACCATGTAGACCAGGCTGGCTTCAAACTCACAAGAGAGCTGTCTACCTCGGCTTTCTGAGTGCTGTGCTGGGATGAAAGGCATGTGCCATCATGCCTGGCTGAATCTGGACTTTCTAAAATACCAAATTTAAGTATAAAATAACCAGCCCAACAAGTGAAGGCTGTTTTAGCCATGCTATGAACCATGCCTCTTGGGATGTCTTCACATCTGTTTGGGACTCAAGTTTTCTTTTTACAGAGATGATGGAACTAATATATAACTTGTGTCTTGGGGCAAGACTTTTGGGTGACAATATATCTTAGAAGGGACATAAATATAAAATATTACCAGTATCATTACTTTATAGCATGACATTCATAATTTTTTGTTGAGAATATATTTTAAAATACATAAGAGGTCATTTGTGGTTTAAAATAAAATTACAGATTAATAGTAACAGTTTTTCATAGCTGTATCATTGAATGTCTCATCTGTTTACTAATACATAGAAACAAGCTAACCAGGTGCTGGGCATTTCTGCAATGTGAATTCAATGTTATCTTTTATGGCTGTGGACTATAAACTGTATGGAATTAGGAAACTGTTTACATGAGAAAAGTACAGCTGCTTCAACTGGGAAAATACTCTAAATGTGTGAGAGAGCACTTGAGTTTTTATTTTTAACTTTATAGTGAAACATTTTGAGAGAATTCTGTCATTCTTTTCATTAAAATCTAGCATTATATTTTGCTTTATTTGTTTCTATCTTCATGTGATAGAGAAGTTTCTATCATCTAAATGTTCTATGAAGGATGAATCTAATAAAGAAATTAAGGTAGAAATCTAAACATGTATAAATGAGGAACCAGTGGAGCCATCTTTACTATAAAGCAAAGGCCTCTCTTTAAAAGAATTTTTAGCTAGTAAATTTTGGAGAAGAGTGGTTTTGTTTCTTCTATTTTGGCTAATTAGCAATATGGCTTGAAATCTGGTAGCAATTCTTTTATTTAAATTTTTAAATCTGAAATTATTTTTAAAAGGTGGGTCTAAGATGCTGTGAATCAATTTCCTATAGATAAAAGCTTATAAAAATATAGAGAAATATTACAGAGGCTGTATGGGCCAGGCTCTGTGCTAGCCTCCCATGTTTTTCATCTCTTTTAAGCCACATTAACATCTATACAACAGTTGTTATTGTATCTTTCATTATAGTTGACGAAACTGAGGTTAACTGACTTTCCTCAGTAACACCACTAGAAAATAACTGAGATAGTCAGACCCTAGAACCTACACCTGTAAAATACACACACACACACACACACACACACACACACACACACACACGCTCTTTCTTGTTCTTCTGTGTCTATCAAGGACATAGCTCCATATGCATTGGTAAGACATGCTCTCCAAGGTAGACTGCGGAAGCTCTAAGACATACTTTGTCCCCTGTCCCATGTATTCATGTGTTCTTCATCCATGGGTTCAGCCAACCATAATTTAAAATATTTGGAAAATTACATCTGTATTAAACATGTACAGACTCTTTATTTCTTGTAATTGTTCCCTAAATAATATAGCTGTTGCATGGTATTTACATTGTGTTTGGTGTAAGTAATCTAAAGATAATTTAAAGTATGTAGGGTGATTGTATAGGTTAAATGCAAATGCTATACCATTTTACATAAAGGCCTAGATAATCTAGAGACTAGAATTTAAAGAGTTCCTGGAAATAATCAGATGCTGAGGAATGACTGTTCTGCTAAAACAAGGTATAGGACAGTATCTATAGGCTACACCTGTCTTTTTAAAAATTATTTATTTTTATTTTATGTGTATGAGCGTAATGCTTGCATGTAGGTAGGCGCACCTGTGTCATACAGTTCCTGTGGAGGTCAGAAGAGGGCATTGGATCCCCTGGGACTGGAGTTATAGATGGCTGTTAGCTGCCATATGGGTGCTGGGAATCGAACCCAGGTCCTCTGCAAGAGCAGCCAGTGCTCTTTAACCACTGAACAATCTTTCCAGCTCCTTCAGCTGTCTTTTAAAAATTATTTGTAGTTAATTTTTTTTCCTCTGGAAATTCTTCTCATTACCTGAGGGCTGAGGGAATTCAGGCCCCAGGGCAACATGGTGAAAGTGAGACTTATATTTATATATATATATTAGGACAGGGTTTCACTTTGTAGCCCAGACTGGCCTGGAACTCAGTATATATAGGACCAGACTGGCCTTGAACTCACGGAGATCCATCTACCTCTGCCTCCCTAGTGCTGGGATTAAAGGTATGCACCCAGCTTACTGTGTATTCTTTTGATTTCCTTTGAATTGTTCAACACTGTACACAACATTATTTTACAATTCAATTTAAAGTAACACTATGAAGACCTACCTAGAAACAATAATGCATCTTAAGAATTATGTCCATTAAAATTTTTTTCTTTGGAAACATATCTGTGCATTTTAAGCCAAAAGATAAGGGATTTTAACATCATCCAAGAGAACACACTGACCCAGGACCCTTGGTTGCTGAGCCTGTGGCACCACTAAGCATGTTGGGGGAAGCTACTCATTAATACCAGGCCTCAGCTTTCTGCACAGTAAAATGGGAAGTGTAAAGTTGCCTTTCAACTTGAAAAATCAACAGCCCCAAATAAGCTTTACTGTAGCGCTTTTTAAAAAGATTAAATGCATGGTTAGATAATTGGGTTCAGGAAAAGAGCAGCCACCTTGGCTCTCACCGGGCATAAAGTTACATGCCCACTTCAACCATTGACTACTGGGCCAGTGAGTTGGCTTTATACTGAAAGATACCAAGAACTGGCAATTCATCTTTGGTGCAAAGGCAGAATAAATGCCCTGTTATACTGCTGTAGGACTGTTTCTCAGTGTAGTGGTACGCAGTGCTGTCATAATATTTCAAAGAATTTGTTAGGGACCTGTAGAAATCCCTCAAGTGTAGGGACTTCAGAATTTACTATAATCTTGGATTGCATAAAGTATAGTAGATGTCAGCAAACTTTTTCTGCAAAGGGACAAATAGGGAACAGTGTATGTTTTGTAGGTCATATGCTTTCCCTCTGAGCTACTGAACTCTGTTGCTATAGGGCAGGAGTCACTGTTGACAATTCATAAAAGAACAAGCTTGGCTGTGGCTATGTCCAATTAAACTTCATTTATAAAACAGGTGTTGAATCACCCTAGCCCATGGGTTGAGCTTGATGATCCTTGAGCTATAATAAACTTTTCTTCTAATTTCTCTTGCATAGTAACTTGAGATAAATTACCTAACTGCCCAAGTCTTAAATGGAATAAGTGTTTCCATTCTATAGCCCCTTCCAATTACTCCTTTATGAATAGTTTACTTTGCAAATACCACACTATACCTTTTTCCCTGATGCTAACCATATTTCAGTTTTATAACTTGCCTTCCTTTCTTTTCACTCTTAGTTTGTATTTTCTGTAGACAGCAGTTAGAATTGCTTCTTTTGCATTCCCATTTTATATGATTTTAACCTTGCCCTAAAAATCTTCTGCTTAAATAATGTTTTTTACTTAGAGAATCATGGTCAACCTTGTTTCAAATCTTCAGAATATGATTGGTTAACCTCTTACAAAATCTAGTCTATTAAAAAATATTTTCTTATTATTGTTATTTTAGGTATATGTGTGTGTTGCCTGCATGTGTGTAAGTGCACCCCTGTTGTGCAATACCCACGGAAGTCAGAAGAAGGCATTGGATCCCCTGGAACTTGAGTTACGAACAGTTGTTAGCCACCATGTTGGTGCTGCGATTTGAGCTCCAATCCTCTGCAAGAGCTGTCAGTGCTCTTAACTGCTGAGCCATCTCTCCAGCCCCAAGTCTTCTGTTTTCAAATGAAGCTCAACCACATTTAAACAAGACACTCTCCTCAAAGTACAAGTAGAGTCTGGAGGCAGAATTTGTCTTGGCAAATTATTTGTAAAGACATGTGTTGGCCTCTGGACTTAGTGCATCCCTGGAGAGGTCCCTGCCTTAGTTAGCCAGGAGAATTGGCAAGACCCCTTACTTACCTGCCTTGTGTTGCAATATCTGGCTCTAATTTAGATAGTTCTCTTCCAGCCTCAGTTCAACTCACATTCCCTTGAAGCACCTTCCAATCTTTCCCCTTTCCTAACATTTTCAATTTCTAAAACTCTACCTGCCATGGTCAAACTCCATGCTGGCAAAGCTCTTTACTTACATGCACAAAGGCTGATAGATGATTGAGATTTACGATATGCTTTAAATTCACTGTGTTTCCTATTCAGCAATTTAGCCATGGCCCTGGATGAAGGTGATTTGTGTGATTCATCTTGCTTTATATCTCACTTGACATTTTGCCTTTTTCATGACAGGTTGCTGAATGCTATAAAGCCAGGACTTGTTAAAAAGATCAATAGATTGCCTACCCCTATTGCAGGATTGGTGAGTATCCAGAATTGAGATTTATTTTCCAATATGCCTTTGCTCTAACCTAAGGGTCATGGCAGTATCATTTATTACCGTTCTTTCTGGAAATATATATTCTGCTTGAATAAGAATGCATTGAATCCATTAAGCTAAGAGGTCACTTAAACATGAAAAATTCCAGTGATGTCTAAATGGCATCTTAATTGTTGCTTGTATTTTTCTCATGAGTGATAAAGTCCTTCAGTCTTAAAGAGGTAAATTTGTTTTGGGGTGAGAGGCTGATAGTTGGGTTGACTCCTGGAAAGGAATGTGATTTTAATGACATCTTCCCATTTCAGGTCTTCTCCACGTTCCCCTGTAACAGAGAGGGGAGGGAGAAGTTTCAAGAGAAAACATCACTTTCATAAGTTGCTCCTTTCATATTAAAACTTTGTGCTGGTTTAACTAGTACAGTTCTATCTATTTGTAAACTAAATCTTCTAACGATATAGTGGTGCACCAGTGTTATCTGGTGTTATTTGGTAAAATATGTAAAAAAGAGAGACCTTGCCTTTCTGGAATTCACAGAACACATGTGTTCACATCTGATCAGACAGGAATTTTTTTTTATGCACTGATGTATTTCATAATTCTTGGCAACTAATTTTAGTCGTTTAATGTATGCTACCTTTTATTAAAAAAAAGGAAAAATGTAGAAAATCAGGAATATAATAAAATCTTAGTTCTTGAAGGAGTTTGACACACATGTGCACACACAATATGTACACATACATGTGCACCTCAAGCTGAGGATGTATGTGACTGGGTAATGATTTTCAGACTGTCTGAAATGGTGATGATAACCTTCTGTGTGTGGGGTTCTTTTCAGGAAAACAATGAGAAAAATGTCAAGAATTTAGGCTAGCTCCTGGATAGGCCTTACTGATTGTTTTAAAGTTTCTTAGTTTTATCACAATGACTGATTAAAATTAGATGTGACAAGGAACTATTGTGTATGAAAGCCATGGGGGTCCTGGTGGGAAGAATATGGTATCAGCAACTTGAATGAACTAGATTCTTTATTTTAAGAATTGCTATTTCTGTGGATATATTTTTATTCCAATATTGATTGGTAGAGAGTTGAAGATTACTCATTAAAAAATCCTAATTTTTCTTGTTAGAATCATGTAGCCAAGTGAATTAATAAATAGAGAAGGAGGATAGATAAACTTAGGAGGAGTGACTTTGAATAATTCTATAAAACAAATATTTGGGAGTTATTAATATATCCCGTGTGTTAGTATGTACATACACTCATTATTTTAGAAGTTTTTATTAAAGCCACCTCTCTTCCAGATGTCTGTGACTGTGGTAGATAGATATCTGGTTGGCCTTGAGCCTGCGACAGCCCCTGACCTTGGACCTTCAGGGTTTAATGTCAGAGGAGCAAAATTTGAAGCACTGAAGTCAAGGAAGCCCCAAGAAATGGTGACTGAGTGAACAGAAGCAGGCAGCTCTGTACCCAGTAGCTAAGTGGAAAGGGATTGGAAACCTTCATTTAAAATGTGAATCATAATTTCAATAAAATTTTGGGTTTGGGATACATGCACATACTTTGATATCTTTCTTTGGGAGAGGGGGTTATGTGTGTGTGGTACATGCATGTGAATGTCCAAGTGCACATGGCCATGTATGTACATGCTGAGGCCAAAGCAGGACTTTGGGTTTCTCCATCTTACTACCTAGAGACAGGGTCTTTCACTGAACCAGAAGGATAACTGGCCAGTCAGCTTTTGAAACCCTCTCGTCTCCACCTACCCCTAACACTTGGTTTGCAGACATCACAGACATGCTTGGCTTCTTACATGGGTGCTGGGGCTTGCAGAAAAAGCATTCTTACCCACAGAGCCATCTCCACAGTGTGTATTTTGATGTTAATTCTTATCATAAGCCAAATACTGTTCTTTACATGTTGTCTCTACTCTGGAGAAGTCAGATAACTTGATGCAAACAAGGTGACCTTAACTGCTCTCCTTCCATTTATGTACTTGATTTCTATTGCTTCTGTTTTCAAATCCAGGTCCTCTGAAAGAGCAGTCAGTGCCCTTAACCACTAAGCCAGCTCTCCAGCCCCTTCTGTTTTTAAACTTGCCCTTTTCTAGCTCACATTTTCCTTCTTATTTTTACCTCATATCACTTATATCCTCTTTACTAAATTATTGTCTTCTGCTCATATTTAATATTTTATTATTAAACATCACTACCTTTTGGTAATTTAGTATTAAGAAAATGCTTTCCAGCCAATTGCGATCGTGCACGCTGGTAGGATATGCTGAAGAAGCAGAGGCAGGAGGATCAAGAAAATGCTTTCCTAACTATGGTTACTGCCCCATTGGTTAATGATTCCCCAGTCTATAGATTTGTCTAAATCTTTTCTTTACCTCCAATCACCTTCAGTTCAACATTTCTAGAAGCCAGAGTAGAATTAGGGCCACTGGAGGAAACAGAATGGTAACCATCATTTTCCCAGGGTGTTAATATATCTCCAGAGCCCTCTACTGAGACCTATACCCTCTTTCTGTGCACACATGTGGGTCTGTTTTCCTTCCTGACCTCAGCTCTTTATAGCATTGAACAAATCCGCATTCCTCACCAAGTGCTCTCGCCTTCACCTGACCCAGAGATCTGTCTAGGAGAACTCCACCTGCATATTCTCCATCTGTCTGTTGGACAGCTCCACTTGTCTTTCATTCATCTATGAGACCTCCCTTTGAATGCCCTCTAGGCTTCCCAAGTTAACATATTCAAATCAGACTTCAGTGACCATTCCCTCCCACTTGGAACCCAGTAGCAGTTGGAGGCATCATAGACAAGGTAGGAAGAAATTGGGCAAGTTTCTCCAATCCATCTGCTTAGCTGCATCTCCTTGGCTACTGCCCTGGAACAGGCTACCTCCATCTCTTGCCTGGATGATTGCAGTTGACTCCCTATTCCTAGACACTGCTCACTCCTATATAAGATGTCATTTTCACAATACTTCTCATGCATAGAAATCTGTTCTTCTTGACAAAATATTTCATTTATCAAGATGGAACATAAAACCACCTTTGTGAAACCTGTACTGTTTGGAGTCTGTTATAATCTTACTTTATGATATATAGATAGCATCCTCTGATAGAGTAGAAAATGAGCTAATACATGAGAAAGAGAAAAGTCAACTCTGTTCAAATACACTTTGGGAGTAAGATGTTAAACAACTATTGTTAACAGTTGAAATGAGGGTGCTGGAGAGATGGCTCAGCGGTTAAGAACATTGACTGTTCTTGCAGAAGACCCAGGTTCGAATCCCAGCACCCACATGGTAGCTAACAACTGTCCGTAACTCCATTTCCAGGGGATCCGACAGCCTCTTCTGTCCTCTGTGGGCACTGCATGGCACAGGTGCACTTACCTACATGCAGGCAATACATGCATACACATAAAATTGAAAAAAATTAATTTTTAAAAAACCCAGTTGAAATGAGAGGCTTGTAAATAGTTTAGTGTTTATGTTAAGACAGTGTGGCTTTAACTGTTACTTAGATGTGATTAAGCATACCAATAATAATGTGTCTAAATGACATTAGTTGTCCTAGTTTTACATTAATAATCATAATTCTGAGGGAAATTATCTGACAAGTCCTAATTTAGGGACATACTGCAGAGCAGTGGGCCCATAGTTTTCAACTCAGTGCTGTTAAAGGTGACGCCTCCTTCCCCAAAGCTGGAAACTGTTGTAGATTAATTCTCTTTGGTGATGAAGCCACTGGTAAGTTGCCCTTGCTCAAGTAAATGACTCCCTCCTTCATGCTGATGCAGGTAACCCTAATTAACTGAAGTGAGCCACAAACAAAGTGACATAAGAGTAGGCGGATGACTTTATGGGAAGAAGGGGTTCAACAGGAGGGGGAGGGGATAAGAGAGGATAATGGGGGAACATAGTCAAAGTACATTGCATATGCATATGCATGAAATGGTAAAAAATAATTTAAGGTGACTAAGCAGATCTGGCAGCTAAGGATGGCAGATGGTCCTTGATTGAGAAGAGGGAATTGAGATAGACATTATTGGGACAACTTGAGGACACCTGAGCATAGATCAAATATTAGATAATATTCTTGCTGCATTGAAGTCTTGCCTGTGACAATAGTCTTGACTTTGGAAGGTATCTGTGCTGAAGTATTTAGGTGAAAAGTTAGGGTGTATACAATGAATTTCAAATTCCAGCCAAAAAAAATCTGTGTATAATTTTGTATATGCAGAGAGATAGGGAAAGAAAGAAGAAAAGAAGGAAAGAAGGAAGGAAGGGGAAGAGAAGGAAGAGAGAGGGGGAAGGAAGGAAGAAAGGAAGGGGGCAGGAGGATAGAGAGGGGAAGAAAATTTGTTAAGATATAAGATTTATAATAAAAAATATACAGATGTCATGGTACTGTTGCAACTGTTTTGGTAGACTTGAAATTTTTTATATTGACAAAAAGCTGGAGATTAAAAGAAAATTCTCTTTTTATGGGACGAAACTTCAGATAAGTAATAGATTTGAAGATGATGGAAACCATTCTAGGTTCTTATGTTTAAGTGTATTTTTATATGATATTTTCTTCCTACTTTTATTCATTACACTCAAGAAAGAGCAGAGAATCCCTCAGATGTTTTTGAAGACTTCCAGGAGGGTGTGCACTTTGCTAGGGGCCTGGCAGATCAGACCACTAGCCATGTATAGATCAAGAAGTCTGCAGTATCAGGAGCCATGGAGTTTGGCTGGAGAATTATCCATGCCGTGTGTGTGTGTGTGTGTGTGTGTGTGTGTGTGTGTGTGTGTCCATTCTAATGGCCAGGTGTTGAGAAATCAATCTAGCAAGGTGGCCCAGATGCTTGACTTGAAGATAAATGGTGAAGTGTGTTTTTATATTCCAATCCAGAATTATAAACATGTGCAGATTTACAAAGGCATGAATAGGTATATTTTAACTCTGAATTGAGCTGTGGTTACAGAGAAT